TGTACAGCCTTATTGGTGAATGGTTTCCGGTAGCTAAGGTTGCCATACGTTACGAAAAACCGGGATTGTCACCGGTTTTGGACTTCGCGTCCCGATGTCCCGAAAAATGTTTTCAGGGCGTCCATATACTCCGGCTTAAACGTTTAGAGGAAATGTAGTATTGTTTAATTTTTAAATTTCGACCATTTAATCTCAAAGTACATTTTTAATCGTAATCGATTAATAATATATAATAAAAACATAATTTGTAAATTACACATATAAATATATAATATATTTTATATTACAAAAAAAAAATTTAAATATTTTATTGCCGGCCATTAATGGTCCTCTTCAGTGGCGTATACATATATTTTGTATGGGGAGGGAGATCATTTGCAAACAAATCATTATTTTTATTTTATCATTACTTTTTTTTTATGTTTCTAACGCTCTCATACTAAAAACATTATTTTATAATATTTAAAAAAAAAGGCCTAGGGGAGATCTGACCTCCACATCCCCACTTGTATATGCCACTGATCCTTTCAATACATTAAGAGTTATATAAAGAGTATATAACTCAATATTGTGTTTGTGTTGTCCCGGTTTCATCTTATAAATTTATAGCAACCCTACCTGTAGCTGGTGTGATGTACATGTGTCTGTTTTGTTACTTATTCAAATGCGAACCGTTCGCTATCGTAGACGACACATTAGTAAAAAATACTTTTACGTATTATAGTCACACGCTACAAATACGTTTTCCCGTGCTCGCTATTACTAATATTAGTGACATATGGCATAATACACATTATATAATTATGGGCGCAACTAGAGCCAAAATATTAGGGGTGCTGAAATTTCTGAAAATAAAATAAAATGGTATTTAACTGTAATTACTATAGATTATATAGATCTGAAGAAAAAAAACAGGAGTACTACATTTGTACATTTGAACTCAGGGGTTCTAAAAACCCTATTGCGCCCCCCTAGTTTTGCCTATGCATATAATATACATCATCAGATTGTTGCGTGATACATTTTTGTTTTGTATTAGTAATACGTGGCATATTACTCTGCGCCGTCGCGAACGACGTCGGCAAACGCACCGATAATACGTAGACAGGGTCATAGCAACCAAATATTGCTCTCGAGGCAAAACTTCAAAATGTGGGCTTAAGTAATTTAATTTGTAAAAAAACTCACAAAAAACTGAATATTTTTTATAAACGCAATATAAATAATAATTTTTCCTTAAAATTATGTAAGCGTTTGTTAATTTTATTAAAATCAATGACTTATTAAAATATAAATATACATAATAATTATAAGTAGATTCATATAAGTAAATATAAAAATACATAATATTACTTTTACTTATAAGTAATAACTTATAACTTATAAGTAACAATTAAATTGAAATTAATTCATTTTTGTGCCCTCCCAGAAATTGCGCCCGGGGCGTAGGCTCCCCCAGCCATTCCCTTTCTACGGCCCTGCACGTGGGCACGTAAAGAAAGTCTATCTTGTCATACGGGACAGTTTTTCTATTCGCTAAGAATCCATGCGTTCGAACAAACAGCAACAACTGACGTTTCCCGAACGTTATCAAACATTTATTTTGTAAACATTTTCACGGAACAAAATGTGCTTGAAATTATTTTACCATTTTACATTCGGTTCCAGCGCACCATTTACAATAAAAAGTAATTATTTAACTATTGTTAATAAATCCATAAACTGATCAATAAATCGAATCCAATGCACGTTTTGATAAAACATTTTAAATGCATTTTTACGTCAATCATATTCGTGTTACTTGACTTATTTATATGTTATTGTACAGATTTTAAATTGCTTTTTTGAAAAAAAATGTTATAACTAAAATTTAAAATAATAATTTTTCGATTTAAGCTCTGCATAAGAATAATTTCACCGTTGAACAGTATCTGTCGATTAAAATGAGCTGTATAAATTGTAAAATAATACGTAAGTATTAATACATATATAAATCTATCATGGAAATACATTTATCGGTGACTCATTGATTTGCGTGTTTGAATATTGTAACTGAAACATATTTTAATTTAATTTAGGTGCCTCAATCAATATGCCATCAATAGCTGAACAATATATATCAAGAGCTAACGTGCAAAGTCAGTAGCATTGCTATCACATTTCTGAATACTCCTTAGGGTATATATAACTGAATCGTATACTAATACTTTACTAATATTAAATTTAAATTATTCTCAAAATCGTGTCCCTAATATTGAGTGTAAAATAATGTTCTACTACGTGTAATATTATTTAAAACATTTTATCAAAACATAATTAATATATTAATAATTTTAAATTGTTCTGGTGTGATAAACTGAGTTTTAGTACATAATATATTTATATAGGCAAGTTAAAATATGACATATTTAGAATAAATAAGTTATGGAATTATTGTCTGAAAATGTTATAACTTTTTTCGTAAAATAAACATGGTAATTTACAATAACGTATCTATATATCTCATTTTGTAAACCTTGAATTATGAACATTAAAACATGAATCTATATTTAGAATCCAGAAGAAAATTAAAATCTCTTCTTAAAATCTTATCGTGGTATCTAATAGAATATGTTTCTGAGCAATTTATAAAAACGATCATTGAAATCGTTACCTGTCGGCCGATTGACGTACATTTATCAAAATCTGTAGTCACGTACAAGCAAAAAAATGTAATGGCTACAGAAAAAATATTTTTAGTAAAACAGTCTAATAATATAGAGTAGTAATAAATTGAAAAATAAAATCTAACTAAGATGGATATCTGTATTATTATTAACACAGAATGAAAATGAGTAAGATTTCTAGGATTAGAATTATTGCGATTTCGGATCCGAATGAATTAAAATTCACGTCCAGTCACTTGTTAAGCATGCGGTAGAAATTTGTTAAAACTATTTTGTAATACCTATAGTGCTTTATTTTATACTGCTACACACAATTTGATAATACGAAATATATCATTATACACCATGTGGAATTAATAATAGAGTTACATACCAGATACACGCAAAATAACTATACATAATAATAACTACGCATTTAAGTATAATTAAAAGTTATCCAAAATGTAATTCAATATAATTTAATTTAGCCACGTACCTACCTCACACATAAAGTGTAGTGTGTTGTGCTTCTAATACTTGGCAAAGTAAGTTTATGTTCACTCATCACACATATTGTACTCGGGTATATTTATAACGTATTTATGTGTGTGTGTGTGTTTGTGTAAATAATTTATACAAAATAAATTAAATGTTATTTTCATCAGTTTACAAAAAAGTACTCTATCTAAGACTTGTTTTCTGAACCAACAGGCTTGAAAACGCTATATTCATTGTTTGACAGGTAATATTATTCATTATAACTACTAATTAAAAATTCATATATTTTATTCTACTTTCATCCATTCAATAAAATAATGATTAAAATAAGGTCTTTTAAAGTTATTTTTATTTATCTGAATTATTTAAATAATCTTTATTTTTTACCTGTACTCTTACCTCACTTGAAATATCGTGTGCTTGGTTACTATTACATTTTTGAATTATTTTACAAGAAATTATTCTCCACTCTGCTCACTCAACCCATGCGATAACGTACAATATTTTTTAAAATTATTCGTATTCTTTAGTATCTAAATACATCAATTCTAGAATTGACTACCTAGCGAGATCAACGCATAATATGTCCGACATCAATGAACTTAATATGACGCATACTCTAACCGAGATTTCTAAATATACCATGAAGTAAGAACGTGTCTTCCACAATTTACAACACAAAACGCTTATAGTGTTTATCTAATAGTCTTTAGGGACAGACTGGGTTAATATTTTATGCCGGTAATTTTTTCTTGCCAGGCCAAAAATTAACAAGGGACCAACGATTTGGCAATAAGTAGGGCTCGGAACTTAATGCATTTAAAAAGTACTAAATATGCATACACTTATGCGCTTAAAAAAGTACAAATATGCACTTATATTTTATTTTTGTACACAAAATTTTCATTTGCACAAATATTTTATAAAATTATAAATATAAAAAAAGCAAAGTAATAAAAATAATTTTGATTTTTAATTTTTAATCATAATTTAAAATAAAAATAATAATAATAAAATAGCATTAAAAATGTTTCTTGAATAAAAAAAATGCACTTGCAGAATGTTCAATAATCATTGAGTTATTTTCCTAGAAAAGTATTTATAGAAAATCATCGTATTTCGATAGCAGGTATTCCTATTTGATATTTGTATACTATACTTTAGATAAAGCTAGCTGTAGCTATAATTTATAAATATATATATATATATGAATATATATTATATTAACCAATAGAGGAAAAACTAGAGCTCAACTTAGAGGGGAGCTAGGAGGGCTACAGCCCCGGGCCCCGATATTATTTGAGGTCCCGGGCCTCTGTTGACAATTAAATATTTAAGTGGTATTGTAAATTTTTAAGATATTATTTCTTTCGTTTAAAATTTACAAAATAAATTAGTCATGTTTCGTAATGGAATTTAAAATTATCATCTAATCGATAAAATAAAGCTATTACATTTTGAGATAAAGTTGGCCAAAAACACTACCATTTATATTTACCCATTCTATCTGCTAATCATCAACGTGTATACCTAAAGGTCAAGTTTAAACACTTGTATGATAACACGAATCGCAACAGTTGTAAACTGTGTATTATTTAAAAATATCTCGAGTTTTTGCGAATGCTCAGTTTATCTAAACGCGGGTATACACTATACAGTCTACTGTTTACCTTTACCAAATCGTTAAGGTATTTTCCATTACATACATTTTGTTGGTTAGTTTTACATCATTAATACAATAGGTACGTTAGTTAGTATTCTGTTGACTGTCGTGACTCGTGATTTTAAATTGATTTTTAGTAAAGTTCGGAGTTTTGTTCGTTGTTAGTGTATAATAAATACTATTGAAATTTGAAAATGTCTGACGAAAAAAGGATTTATCTCAGTGGTTATGCAAAACGAAAATTAAAGAAGGAGGCTGAAGATGCAGTAAGCAAATTACCTAAATTAACGAATTTTTTTAAAACTTTCAACAGTGTGAACGAAGTTGAAGAAGAAGCTAATACAAATAATAAAGATGATTTGGTTACTAAACATCGTATAGACAAAACTATGGCCGAAAAAATGTTGAATGAAAATAAGTATTGGGTTAAAGTGTTGCACCGTGTAGTATCAGTTGTTAAATTTTTGGTTGTTCGTGGGTTAACATTTGAAATTAATGACTCACGGTTGGGTTCTCCGAGTAATGGAAATTTTCTTGGAATTCTTGAAGTTATTTCCGAATTTGATCCCTTTTTAAAACAACAGATGAATGAACGCGCTAATAAAGGATCAGGCAATGTATCTTATTTTTCGATGCGTATTTGTAACGAAATAATTGACCTAATGGTAAATGAAATTTTATTAGAAAAAACTAAACAGTTACAAGAAACTAAATACTTCGGTCTAATTTTAGATTCTACTCCAGATAGAGCACATAGAGATCAATTTGCTGTTGTTGTTAGATACTGTTATAAAGGGTTAGTAGTTGAGCGATTCTTAACATACATTCATATATTAAACCATACTGGTATTTCAATGGCCGAAGAAGTAATACATTTTTCGGAAAATAATAATATTAATTTGCAATATTGTAGAGGCCAATCATAAGACAATGCTAATAATATGACTGGTATATATGAGGGTTTACAGGCTCAAATAAAAAAAAAATGTAGTGTTACTTTATTTGCACCTTGTTTTGCTCATTCCCTAAATTTAGTAGGGTCACATGCAGTGAAAAGTTGTTTAGAAGCAATCAATTTTTTTGGTGTTGTTCAAAAATTGTATGCATTTTTTGCGGCCTCGACACATAGATGGAATTTGCTTTTGGCTGGTCTAAAATCGGAAGAGAAAAATAAAATAATCGTTTTGAAAACATTAAGTAATACTCGGTGGGAATGTCACACGGAGTCTTGTAAAGCTATTATCTTAAATTATGATCAAATTATATGTACATTAACAGATATTTTTGAAAATTGTAATGAAAAACAAGAAAATCGTCATGAGACTAAATCAATGAAAAATAAAATGATAAAATTTAAAACAGCTTTTATGGCAGTTATGTGGAGTGAAATTTTATCGCAGTTTAACAGTGTTAGTAAATACCTTCAAAAACCGGGAATAGATTTATTTACAACCGTAAATTTATTAAAAGGATTAAAAACTTATGTTAGTTCATTAAGAGAGAAGTTTAAATATTTTGAGAATAAAGCAAGGGTATTATCAACAAATATTCTGCCCTGTGTTGAAAAAAGTGTAAGAAAAAAAAATTCCCGGATGGTACAATAGAAGGAAATTCAAACTATTGTGGTATAAGAAAGTTAGAGATTGATACTTTTTACGTTATTATTGATCGTTTAGTTACAGAACTTGATAAAAGATTAAACGCATATGATAATGTTTGTAATTTTTGGGTTTATTACAAAATTTGGTTCAGAATTATTATCAGAGACTTCTGCCGACATATTCATTAGCACATTTAAAGATGATATTGATACAACTAATATAAAACAAGAGATTGTGCACTTTTCAAATTATGTAATGCAGTTAAATTTATCAATAATTACCCCTCAAAATATTTACTTATATGTACATGAAAATAATTTAAAAGAAGTCTTTCCAAATGTGTACATTTCTTTGCGAATTTATTTAACTTTGCCAATTTCGAATTGTGAAGCAGAAAGAACAAATTCAAAATTATAACTTATTGAAAATGCCAGAAGAACGTCCCTTCACCAAGAAAAATTAAACTCACTCGTTCGTCTATCTGCTGAAAGGGAAATAACTGACACATTGGATTTTTCAAATCTAATTCAGAAGTTAAGTGAACTAAAATCTCGAAAGAAACAATTGACTTCAATTTTTATATTTAATTTAGTAAACATTAATAAATAATTAATATTTTTTATTTTTACCGGTACTTAATAATTATTTTTAAATATTATACAAGTATTAACAATTGATTTTTGATCTGTAAATAAAACTTTTGTTCACTAATGCAATAATGTTATTTTAATGTTGACTGTAATTTTTAAATTATATTAAACAAATATTAAAGGCCCCTAAAATTATATTGCCCCTGACCCATATTTCCTAAGTTTGGCTCTGGGAAAAACATTGTTTTTAATGTCAAATGGAAATTTGAAAAATACGATACAAGAATATCAAGAAAATTCTCTTAATATGAATGTATTTATTATTTTATTTTTCGAATTTTTAAACTGAATCTTCAAAAATCATAAAATATGCTCTAAAAAATATAAAATCAAGATATATGCTCTAAAATCTAAAAATCACTAAACATACAAAAATATGCACTAAAAACTTTTGATATGTTTTTCGTAATATTACAATATATTTTTAATTTCTAATATATTATCAGGCCATTTAATCTATTATTGTAACGAGCCACCGGGAATTTCCCGGTGTCCCGCCAGGCCAGTTCGCTCCTGATAGTCTTTACCATAAGGTTCAACTGTAAAGTACATATGCGCTGTCTCATTAAGAGAGAAGCATTAAAAATATAAATTTAATGTATATTATTATATAGTCCTGAGATATATATATATAAATATACATGAAATATAAATTCTGTACTCAACTCATGGAATTATTAAAACATAATGAAACCGAATTTCATTATTCGTCAACTGTGAATGTATAAGTAATCATTCCTACACATAAATTTCCATTTGAATGGAACTTATTTTTATAACCATATTCATGATACGTGTAGTTATCCTCCATCCGATTAAACAAATTTACGAGACCGAAAGCGAATTTATATCGCTTCGAGCAATGCAATTATTTCGGTCACCGAAAACCATACACGATCGTTGTGTAATAAACATTATAAACAAATAAATACATATTCATATTATTCTCATTAAAATATCAACGGTATTTCATAATTATTAATAGCATCGGAAGCGCCTTAAACGACAACGGTGCATATTTTACAATAATAAAACAGTTATAGGAGAACAGTAATAATATATTATAATATTACTCAATGCTAAATCATTATGGATATTCGGGAAAAATGTTTTCTACAATTCTACTGTGGTCTGTTGGTTTATGATGAGAACGTGCGTTGTCCAACCGGCACAATAGGTGTTTGCTTGAACGAGTATAATAATTTTAATGTGTGGCTCAGCAGTACTGTCCGTGTAATATTAATTCCCGTTAAACATGCGTTCACTGGAAATATCGATTCATGAGCTCGTATATGTTACACAAAGTCTTTTCCAGATTAATTGCCATTCATTAGTACCATTTTAACTGTTGATCAATATTTAATATATACGAACCTAAACGAATCAAAACAAAGAAATAAAAAATAATAAATATCATGATTCTTCAAAGTATATCGGAGTACAGCGTCACAATTTCAAGATTTCATTATTGAATCAACCAGTCTGATGATATTTAATCGCTTGGAATAAGGGCAACGCGAATTATATTGATTTTTGAGGTACATATTTTCTCGTCGCCATGTGATGCTTTGTTTGAAATTTCTTATTAATGAAGTTAATATCTTATTATTATAAGATATACCTTATACATTCCATGTTCCGTTGAAATAAAAAAACATTAATATTCAATATTATTTACTATTATCCGACTGGTTTTAAGGGAAAAATCGGTTTATCATAATAATTTTTGTTTGAATAATGTTAAAAACTGTGAACATTTAAAATCTTATTTTGTATGACTATATTTAAAATTCCAAACCTATTAAATTTACATAAAAAATAATAAGTATAATTTACCTTTGACCGTGATGAAGTATTGAATTATCATATACTAATTTAAAATGTTAACTAAAAAAACAAAATAAACTATGTAATTATTTACTATGTATAACGTGACCATATTTTTTTTTCTTTAAAGCGGGATACCGGTACATTTTAATAAGAAAACCATAACATTTTGCGTAAAATAACAATTTTTTTATTGGAAAAAAAAACATTAATTATTTATAAAAAAATTCCAACAGAAAAACGCAGCTAATATAATATTAATCCTAATAATAACAATAATAAATAATAAATAATAATAATATAATAATAGAGTACATTATTCAGCTGGTTTTCTATATTTATCGGATCCAGATATCTTCTTTAAAGTAGACGGTTTGGTTTTTATGTATGAATGGAACTCTTGACATAATTTTAATAATGTTACCCTTTGTTATAAATATGGCTTTCAATACAGAGACTCCCAATTGAGTTTTTTCACTGCTCCATATTTTATTCATATGAGAGAACACTCTTTCAACTGGAGCGTTACTGCCTGGCAGACACAAAATGTATTCTACAATTATAGAAAAATTCACGTGTGCGAGATCATTTGCATTGAAGTACGTAAATACTTCCACCTAACGATTTTCAGTAGCTATATTCCCGGTGTTTCAGTCACATATTTTTGAGTTGTTATATACTTAGAAATTAGTAAAAACTCGTCAAAAACTCCTGTGTCTTGACTGCTACTAATAAATTTCTGTTTAATGAGTAAGTCCATCACTTTTTGTACTTCCTCCCACGAGGGAACCTCCCTCAAATTTGCCCATTCAAATATTTTTACTTCCTCGTTGAACTGACACCACTGCTCCAAATATTCTTTGCTTGTTTTGTAAAAAACAGCCGCTGTAGCTTTTACGTTTTCTTCATTGATAGCACCAGTTTTTAGTAATTTTACCATTATATTACGGGTGGCGTGGGGAAGATAGCATGCATTTTGTTATAGATTTAAATTATTTAGGAATTGATTGATTTCATTTGCAGCATTTATTGCAGACACGTTTTGGCCTTCGATCTTTAACACTGCTTGACGAAAAGTAGCTGATTGTGCGTGCATAAAATACAACCATAATTTAGAGCTGGGATTTTCAAAAAAATTCTTTCAATATATTCAGGCATTTATCAATGCTCAGAAAATATTTTTTTAACGGCAGAAACATTTTCAAAACTCTTTCAGGCATCAACGCAAGCCATCTAGTTTTACTATAACCCAGAAGTTATTTATATTCTGTGTTAGCTGCATTACAAAATTCTTTAAGAGCTTCAACACGAACGCTATAAATGTAAAAAAATGAGTATATTTTTACAATTATGCATTCAAAATCAACAGGTAAACAATCTGCAGCACTTTTGATTGCATTATGGATTATGTGAGCTCCGCATCCAATTCCTATGAGAGTCCTTCCAAGAGACGTGTTTAATTTTGCATAAACGTTATTAACTTATTTTCTATTTTTTCCTCCAAAATTACAGTTAGTATTGTCTCCAAAAAACGCCACAATTTTAGACGTCAGTACATTTTTAGTCAATACTATTTATTTTAAATAATCCACAATTATATTCGATGTTTCACCCGATTGCTCTTGACATTCTAAAATCTTTACTTGCACTCCTTTATACGGTAAAGAGTAGCATACTAATACAGGGAATAATTTTGTAGAACCATGGTTTGAAGCGTCCGTTAGTAAAGTAATGCAATTCGCTTTACGAAGGTGGTCATTTAACTCATGTATTGCCATAGGTGCCAAAACATTTACAACAATAGCCTCGGACTTTGTGCGAGCACATCTAAATTTTTGGTCAAAACAC